GGGGGGGGCGGGGAGAGGGGTGCAGTGTGTAGTTCCCCTGTGCTGTCATTCTCAACTGTAGTGTCCAATCCCTAAAGTCATATAATAAAGATTGGATTTATAAAGATACTGATAATAAAGACAGTCATAGTGAAAGCATGTTTTTCAATGAAGTATTCAACTGATGTCAAGACTGCATTATGACAGAGTATCATAAAATTGGAACCCTCAATCCCAAAGGCATTCAGTTCAAATCCATCAGATTCTCTGTTGGAGAAGGAGGGGCAATCTCCTCCTGTGCCAGTCGGATCTGATTCAATGGCATACAATAAGAAAAAGGAAAAAAAAAAAAAACAAAACCCTTTCATAAGTCAGAGGCTACCCATATTAATCAACACATACCAAACTCCTAGATGTCAAACACTGATCTTCCCAGTAATTCTAAAAGTAGTAATTTGTATTAGTAGTAGTATCCTCATTTTATAGATGAGGAAATTGAAACATCTGTAATAGAGCCAGAACCAGATTTATTCTTGGACAGCCTGGTTCTAAAGTACATGCTCTTAGTCATAATTCTATTCTTTATAGGAGGAGTGACTAAGTTGATGACAAAGGAACAAACTTTGAAATGACAAATCAAGGTGTGTGTGTGTGTGTGTGTGTGTGTGTGTGTGTGTGTGAGTGAGGGAGAGAGATTACATATGATTCAGATTCTCTAATGATAGTATTTATATCATCGGTATTTTATATTTAAATTTGCAAATAATTTTATGAGAGTTACTAAATAGCACTCACTTCTTTTTCTGGCAGGTGATTTAATGAAAATACCAAATTCTGATTTGAGGATACAAATTTGCAAATGCATTGTTAATTTTTATCATGCAGAACCACCAAAGAAGCACATTACAGGTGAAATTTTCAGTGGTTTTTCAATAGTAATTTCTGTCCTTGGCAATCAGAATATTCTGTTCTATTTTTCTTTTAACTCACAGAGACACAGTGGACTCATAAAATGAAGCATGTAAAAGCATGTATGTGTATGTGGTTTTGAACTCTTCAATAATCTTAAAAAAATAAGTCCTTTTTTTCAGTTTGGGGTTTGCATGATACTCTCATTGCAGTGCCTAATTTGCAGTTTTATAGCCATAGCTAAAGCAGGTTCGTTACTGATGCTGTCTGTTGCTGCTGTTAGGCGCCACGTCCACTGTAACTTATAGTGGCCCTAGAAACAGCAGATCTGAACCTTGCCCCATGCTGCAGCATCCTCACAGTCTTCAATATGCTCAAGCCCATTGTTATAATTACCTTGTCAAAGCATCTTGTTAAGGGTCTTCCTCTTTCTCTCACCCTTTGCCTTTGTTGCGATGGTGTCAGTTTCCAGATTGGGCTACCTAACAACACAGCCAAAGGACATAAGATAAAGGTTCACATTCTAGCCTCTAAGGAGCACCCTGGTTGTACTTTGTCCAAAACAGCCTTGTTTGTTTTTTCGGTAGGCCATGGGGTATTTAGTACTCTTCTTTCAAACCACAATTCAAAAGCATTGATTCTTCTTTGGTAATCTTTATTCATTGTCCAATTTTCAGATGCATTGAAGTAATGGAGAAGGGAAACTATGGCATCAATCAGGTGCACCTTAGTCTTTAAACTGACATACTTTCTCTTTAACATTTTGGAGAGGTCTTTGACAGCAGATTTTTCCCAGTGCAACATGTCTTTTTATTTCTTGTGTGATATTACCATGGATATTGATTATTATTGTTGTTGTTGTTGTGTACCATTGAGCCAGAACCAAGTGATAGCTGATCCTCCAGCAGGCTTTCAGAAACAGTAAACCACATGCATAGAAATTGCCCATCTTTCTATCCTAGAGAAGCTGGTAGATTTGAAACCATATGTCTTTGAGTTATCAGAACAACTCCTTATCACTAGGTTACCAGAGCTCCCCTTTATTAATTATTAGAGGCATTAATTAGTATTATTTAATACAATTAATATTATTTTGCCATTTTAGAATTATTCATAATATCTACTCACCAAGAAAGATGTTAAATTTCTAATGCAAATATCATTATAAATCACATTTGTGAATGATTCAACATGTACAAAAAAGTCTTAATGCTTATGGTAAAATGAACCTCACTGAAATGGTGATATCAAGACAGGAGTCACTTACACTGTGAGGGGCATCATGTTATTTAAGACATATGTCCAGCCTTCACAGTTTCTGTAATCATTTTTAGTAAAGGAAAAATACATAAATAATCCTATTACATTTTGTGCCTTAAACTCATCCAAGTTCACTGTTGTTGAACTGGTTTTGACTCATAGTGACCACCCATGAAATTTCTAAGGTTTTACATTTTTATGGGAAGAACTGCCTGTTTTCCTCCTGAAGAGCAGGTGATGGATTCAAACTGCTAACCTCCCAGTTAACAGTCTGATAGGTTATGCACTATGCTATCAGAGCACCTTAAGTTCCCTTAGCTGAGTGAAAAGAAGCCTAGTAGTTCAACACAGTAATGAGTAAGGAGTGCTGGCAGTGCAATGGTTAAGCACTCAGCATTTAACCAGAAGGCTGGTAGTTCTCTCCATGGGAGAAGGATAGGTGGCAGTCTGCTATCTGTAAAGATTACAGTTGTGGAAATCCTAGGGGGCAGTTCTACTCTGTTCTCACTGTGAGTAAGAATTGACTTGACAGCAATGTGTTTCATTGGTTAAGTTCAAAACAAAGAAAAAAATATTATGACATGGGAAAAATGGGAAGACATCTGCAGTAGTTAAATAAAGAGGTTTTTAAATCATGAATTTTGGTGTTGATGAGATATACAGGTGGAAGTATTTGGTGGATGTTAGATTCTAAAATCAGTAGGGACCAGAAGCATTTTTGGAACCCATCCAAAAAGAGATAAAAGTTGAAGTTATCAGAGTGCCTAAGTTTTCCAGGAGATTGAACATAAAAACAGCAAAGAATCAAGAATGACATGAAGAATGCCTCTATTGATGTCTAGGAAAAATAACCCAAAGAAAGTGACAGGAAAGAGAGGCTAAAAGAAGAGGAAGAAAGCCTGGAGAGTGTCATGTGTGCTAGTGTCAAAACTCCTCCATAATGGAGAGATGAAAAAGGCGATTTAGGGGGAGGGCAGAATGTGAAAAGTTGTAGTTACTCCTTGGCAGATGAATTGCTACAAAGTGTTTGGAGCCAGTGCAGGATTAAGGAAAGAGAGTTGTAGTTAGAGAGGCAGTGGCCTTGAGTTTGAGGGAGATGAAGAAAAAAAAGGTGGGAGGACACCTCTCAACTGATAACAAAGTCAGAGGAAGGTATTGAGATTTTCTTTTGGTTATTTACATTTAGAATAGGCAGAAATGAATCTTGTAGACAAAGCCAACTAAATGAGAAATTCTCGTTCTCATATCAAGTTGGAACTGACTTATAGCTGACTCTTGATTGGGTTTCCAAAGATGGTAAATCTCATGGGAGGAGATTTCCCATCTTTCTTCTGCAGAGCCACTGGTAAATTCAAACCACCAGGGAGGCACAGCCTTTGGGTAAGCAGCACAACTCCCTACAGACTTCCCTAAATGGGAAATAGGAAAGGAATTTCCAAAGGATGTGGGAGAGGATGGAATCAACAGAAGCTTAGGGCTAACCTTAGTAAGATATAGGAAGAAGAAAAGGATGAAAGTTAAGAGAGAAAAGTGTCCAGAGATGTGTGATTGGCCTTAATTTAATCAAGTTCTGAAAATTAAGAGTACTACACTGTTCTAATTGTCTTACCGTTGGTTTCCATTGATGGGCAAAACTGGACACCTGGGACCACAAATGAAGAGTCATTAGCTGAGCTAAGAACATATCGTGGGATACAGGAATCAAGTGCATAAGCCTTACTACTATGTCTCCTATAGAAATATAAACTCAATATAAAGGCATAACAGTATATAATATAATTTTTGTTTATATGTGAGATAGTTTGTTGCACAAAAATAATAATTTTAAAATCTTTTGTAGCATGGGAGAAAGATTACAATGAAATGTTCCTTAGCTAGAATAGCATATAAAATTCTATGTACAATGTTAACAACTTAATCCTACTTAGAGCCACAATCAATATACTTTGTATTATCAGTCAGGAGATATATTGCACTGGGAAATTCTGTAATCAAGGACTTCTCTAAATTACTGAGAAGCAGTGATGTCAGATAGAGGACTAAACTGTGCCTGATTTAGGCCTTGGCAATTCCTTGGAGAAGGATATTATGCTTGGGAAAAAAAGGAGGGTGGGCAACAGAAAGGAAAATCCTCAACCAAGGTGGATTGACAAAGTGACTGCAGCCATGAGCTTGTGAGGATAGCACAGGAAAGGACGGGTTCAGTTCTTTTGTTCATAGGCTCACAAATGAGTTGTTCTCCACTTTAGGGGCCCTAACAACAATGTGTATTAAAAAATTATACAGGTACCGGGGGGGTGTGGTGAGGGAGAAAAGTGCAACAATGAATGACTGGAAACCCCAAGTCTCTGTAAACGTTCATTAAAATTAATTTAAAAAATACAGATACGTTAAAAAGATAAATTATATACCAAAATATTAATGTATGAAATGGTGACATTATAGGCAGTTTTTGCTTTCCTCTTCATACATTCCAGGCCTTTTAAAATGTTTTATATAGTGTAGTATAATATAGAGAATCCCTTTTAGGAATACACAAAGGCTCATCAATGACAGAGTTCAAATTTGTATAAATCAAACTGATTGACAGTCATCTCAGTACTGTAAGAAAGACTGAGAAATCCAGGTGATCTTGAAAGTTGACATGTAGGGGAGTTTAAAAACTGATAGCAATGGGAGAAAAAGTAGGCTCATATTAGATTAGCAAAGTAGCCTCTGGGTGTTTTCATCCCTGTCATTAAATGTAGTTGGGAACTAAGAAGAAAATTATTATATAACTTTTGACTATGAATTAAACTTACTCAAACCCAAACTGAAATCCACTGCCATCAAATTGATTCCAACTCCTAACAAACCTTCCATCAGGTCTCAATACTATAAATCTCTATATGAGGAGACTACTCATATTTCTCCTTTAGATCATTTAGAAGATTCTGCCTCCAAGTTCTCTGTTTGCAGCCCAACACTTTATGTGCTGTGCTACCCGTGGTCCTTAAACTTCCACCAAAAGCCATTCAGTTCACTAGCACTTATCAGAACAGCATCATCTTTTCCACCTCTATTGCATTGTCCTTAAAAACACTAAAAACCAACAAAAAACCCACTGAAGTAGCACCTTGACTTGAATAGGGAAGACATTCATTGTTTATGTGTTTTCCTACGTATCTACTAACAAAAATTTTTTTGTTTCTTAGCATTTAAGACATACTCCCAAACTGTATGATACCATTTTACATTCTACATCAAGAAGTCAGCAAACTGTGACCCACAGGCTAAAGTTGATCCACTGTAAATGAACACTTTATTGGAACACAATCACACCCATTTATTTCTTTATTATCTGCAATTGCTGTGGTGCTACAATCTCAGAGTTGAATAGTTGAAACAGAATCTACATGGCCTTCAAAGCCTAGAACATTTAGTGTTTTATACAAAAGTTTTGCTTATGCTGTTCTAACTGATTTTAAAATACACGTTTTAAAAATTTTGTTTCGTTTGGTGATAAATTACGGATTTCATTGCCTTATAATATAGACAATTGGTATGTAAAATACTGATATCTGTTTCTTAATTGATTGTTGCTAGGCTACCAGCAAGCTAGTTCATCATACAAGATTCAAATGGCTGAAGTTGGAGGATTGGCAAAATCAATGGTCCTGGCAATGGAGCTGCTGGACAATCAGCTTGTCGAGAAACTCTGGGTACTGAAAGCTCTGCAGCACCTCTCAACCTCTGGTCTGTACACGACTGTGAAAGCTTTAGCTCCCTTTTCTCCTTTGTTTTCATATAACCATGTAAAGACTATGCAACATAAATAATTTTCAAATTTGCTTTTAGAAGTTAATTGTTCTTTCATGATGAAAGCACAAGCTGCTTATGAAATCTGTGCTCACCTCAATGATCCCGATCCCTCCGGACAACTTCTGTTTCGTTCTTCAGAAATACTTTGGAACTTACTGGAAAAATCCTCCAGGGAAGAAATCGTCCAACAGCTTAGTAATTTAGAATGTTTGTTGTAAGTATATGTGATTAAAATAAGAACCTTTTCTGCTCTTAGAATGACAACCGGTGAGTGAGCTCGCTGGCATCTTGGTGTGACTCTGTGTTCAGGTGGGCCTTGGGTTCATGTGCTGGCTGGGTTTCAGGCTGTCTGTTTTTGTGCCATGGTATACATAGATTTGCATGATAACAAGTCATGTTTTTCTATATAACAGTTTTTGAAATAGACTATTAGTAAGATTACTTGAATATGTATGAACCTAAATTAAATATTTAAAAGAATGCTTTTATTTACTCATTCATTAAATTTATTGTTGTTATTATCCAGATACTGCAATAAACACTTGGAATAAAATATGAGTACACCTTCAAGTTGCTTATTCATTTATTCAACAAATGATTATTTGTTATGTGCTCAGTACTAGGTAATAGAAATGAACTTTAAAATAGTGAAGACTGTTCATTTTCATGGGATTTACTATATGATAGGCAAGATGGATACTTATATGCTTATAAGTAACTAAAAAGAGAATGTACTAAATTTTATGAAAGAGATTATCAGAAGGGACTATATGTTCTCTTAGAAGTGAGTCAGTAATTTTTTCATTGCAAAAAACTAAAAGTATAACCTTCTGACTTACAAAGAATTTATGGATTCATGTATACAAAGTCTCAAGATAACTGCACAACTGATTCCATTTGCCCTAGATTCCAGACTTAGCCAGTGTCAAGAGTAGAGTTCTCTTCATCTCTCCAAACTGGCTTCCACTGAAGTGGCTTCATTTATAGGCTGCATGTGCTGAGTCCTAGACAGTCCACTTTGACACCATCACCACACCACCAGTCAGAGAAGTTGTGCAGCTCCAATGCAAAATCTTCATATTGAATTAATGTTGGCCCTAAATGGCCTGAGATTGATCCTATGACCATTCTACAACCGATTAGATGCTAGAAAGAAAGAATGTTTCAGCAGTTGAAGACAATGTTATTGAATCAGGATATGGGTTGGTTGCCTCATGAAAATAAGGGTACTGTTGTTATAAAAGGATACATTGGACTGAGGAGGCAAGATAACCAATATTGACTTCAGAGGGGATCTCTGCCCATGTAGAGTGCATCCTAGACAAAAGGAACAGAAGTGAAAATAGAATTTAGCAAAAATAAATAAATAAAATTAAAAGATAATTAATATAAAAAATATGAAAGGCAGCAGAAAGTACAGAACAGAATGGTGAATGATGTTAGTGGGGCTTTGTTGTTTTTGTGTGTGCCATCAAGTCAGAAACAACCCATAGCTGACACCCCCCCCCCAGCAGGTTTTCAGAGGCAGTTAATCTCACAGGAAGAGATAGCCTATCCTCCTGAAGAGCTGCTGATGGCCTCAAACTGTGTGTACATTTGGGATTACAGTGTAGCTTCTTGTAACTAAGCCACCAGAGCTCCTTCATGGTAAGAAATTGTGCTGCAATCCCAAAGGCAAATAGTTCAAATTCACCAGCTGCTCCATGGGAGAAGGATGAGCAGTCTCCTCCTGTGCAATTTACTGCCTCTTTGAAAGCCCACCAGAGGGGCAGCTATGGGTCAGTTCCAACTCCATGGTACTCAACAACAAAACAACAGTATAATATGAAAGTTTGCTTAAGGGATAGAACTATATCCTGAGAACAAAGACAAAGTATTAAACAAAATGAAAATATAAATGGCATGGTTGAATCTCTATTTTAGACTGTCATTGTGACCACCCAATCCCAAAGATCAATTAGTGGGTTATTTTCAAGTACACAGTGAATTAGGAATATGTACTACAGTGTTATTAAGATTAGAAATATTTAGAAATCAACATTATAAAGGGATTTTGTTAAAATAAAGTGTTTCTATAGAACAAAAAAAATACTCTTTTACTTTCCAGGGTTTTAAAGGAAGTATTTAAAAATCTGTTTATGAGGAGTTATAGTCATTATGATCGTCAACTAAGAAATGATATATTAGTGATCACTACAATTGTAGCTCAAAACCCTGAAGCACCAATGATTGTAAGTACAAATCAGATCTTATTAATTTTCATTATGGAAGTTGTGAGTCTGTGGAGAAGAAATATGAAGACAATAGTGGAGTGTTTATGTTTTTGTTTTGATGCCAAGTTTTGTTGGAATGGTCATCAATATACTTCTCCCTATGCCAGTTCTTTGCATCCTTAGGGAAAGGTGAGATCCTTCTCAGATTTTACAATTTATACACATGTTTAGCATTTGTGATGCTTTTTTATTTTCTTCCTAGCTTATAAATTTCTGTCTGGTATCTGATATTATTTTACTTTTACCTGAAGAACTGCCATTAGCAATATTTGTAGTGCACATTTGCTAGCTGCTGGCAACAAATTCTCTTTCTTTTTTATCTGAAAATATTATTTCACTTTAATTCTTAAAGTCTATGGTCATTGGATATAAAATCTGTGTTTAAAATTTTCTCTTTAAGCACTTAGAAAATGTTGTTCCATGTCTTCTGATCACTGTTGTTTCTTAAAAGAAGCATTTGTAATTTGAGTTGGTCTGAAAGCTTTCAAGATGTCCTTTCTTACCTATGAATATTTTGACTCTTTGTTTAGCAGATTTCTCCTGCTTTAAGTTCCCAGAGCTTCCTGAATTTATCAGACTTGGAAAACTTTTACTCCATTCTTATTTCAGGAATTCTTTCCCCACTTCATTCTCTTACATTTTTCTGATATTCCAGTTACTTGTATATTCGGCTTTTTGACAATGTCTTACAGGTCTGTGCCTCTCTACTCATTTTTTCCCCCAGTCTTTTTCTCCCTCTGTTCTTCTCATTGAATAATATGTTTTATTCTATTTTTTCCTCATCTTTTTTTCTCCTCATAATCCCATCCAGAGTCAACAGAATATAGAAATTATTGAATAATACAATACAATTTTCAGGTAAAATCTTGCTGTTGTTGTTAAGTACAGTCAAGTTACTTGTGACTCATAGTGACCCTATGCACAACTATGAGCTCTGAACCCTGCTCTATCCTGTGCCAATCTTGTTGTCTCCGAAACACACCCTCCCATTACCCCAGTCATTGAGTCAGTCCATCTCATCCAGGGTCTTTCTTTCATGGCTGCAATACATCAACAGGAAACTACCAGAAATTTGAGCTAGATTCAAAAGAGACCTTGGTATGAGAGATCCCAGTGCTGATGTCAGGATAGGTCCTGACTGAAAGAAGAGAATACCAGAAAGATGTTTGCTTATGTTTTATTAACTATGCAAAGGCATTTGACTATGTGAATTATAACAAATTGATATAACATTGAGGAGAATGGGATTCCCACTTAATTGTGCTCATAGGAAACCTATATGTAAATCAAGAACAGTTATATGAACAGAAAATAGAACACTGAATGGTTAAAAGCAGGAAAGATGTGCATCAGGGTTGTATTCTTTGTCCATACCTAGTCAATCTGTATGCTAAGCACAATATTCGAGAAACTGGACTTTCTGAAGAAGGACATGACATCAGTATTAGAGGAAGACTTATCACCAATCTGTGTTAAGCAGATGACGTAACCAAGTTTGCCAAAAATCAAGATTTAAAGCAATTAACTGAAGGAAATCAGAGACTACAGCCTGGAATATAGATTACATTTTAAACATCAAGAAAAAAAATCTTCACCACTGGACCAATCTTCTTGTTGTTAGGTGTTGTCTAGTTGAGTATGACTCATAGTGACCCAATGAACAACAGATCTGAACCCTGTTCTATTCCATTCCATACTCATACATCCTAACACACAAGACCCTATTGTGGCAGTCACTGTGTCAATCCACCTAGCTGAGGGTCTTCTTCTCCTTCACAGACCCTCCACCCCTTATAGCATCTTGTCCTTCTTCAAGGAATAGCCCCTCCTAGCAATATGCACAAAGTATGTGAGGCAAAGCCTCATCATTCTTGCCTCCAAAGAGCACTCTGGCTATGTCCTCTCCAAGACATATCTGTTTTTCCTTTTGGCAATCTATGGGATGCTCAGTGCTCTTCTCCAACACCGCAGTTCAAAGGCACCAATTCTATTCCTGTAATCCTTATTCATTGTCCAGCTCTCAGATGCATAGCAAGTAATCAGAAGGACTATAACCTGAATCAGATGAGACTTAGTCCTCAAACTGACATCATTACTCAATAATTTGGAGACGTCCCTAATGGCAGACTTTTCCTAGTCTCCTTATTTCCTGACTGCTGGTACCAAGGATATTAATTGTGGATCCAAGCAAGATGACACTGTTGACAGTTTCAATCTCCTTTTTATCTGTCATACTGTTGCCTATCAGTCTCATTTTAAGACTCTTTGGGTTTGTTTGCTTTTTTTTATGGTGAGAAAAAAAATGTTTATAGAATTAGCTAGCTGGACTCAATTTAGATGGTCCTAATTTTGTTGGCAACATCCAAAGCATCATAGTGAAGAGCAAGTCAAACGAAGGCCTTCCTCTTTCCATCAGGTCTAATTGAGGTGTTAACCCTGGCCACATCAGTGTTATAGAGCTTCTTTACAGCTTGTTTGAGTTGGTGCTTGTTAACCTTTATATTCACAATGAACACAAGTGTGTTGTTCTCTCTTCTTCATGGCTGACTGAGTGCTCAGGGGGAACTTGATGATGGCATAGTGGTCAAGTTTGTTTCTCCTGGGATGACTCTTCGGGGGGGGGGAGGGGCGGGTATTTGGGCAGCCTTTGGAGTCTCAGTGTCTTAGTCTGCTGGAAGGTGGGTGACATGCAGATCTTGTGTGTGTGTGTGTGTGTGTGTGTGTGTGGCTACGTTTCAGGACTGCCTTCTTGGCCTTTAATGCCTTGGCTTTGGCTTCAGTTTTAGGAAGGGTAGAGGCTTCCTTCTTTGCTTTGGATGCCATCTTTGAAGAAAGAATTTATTTTTTTTACATTGAGATGCAATACAGACCTAAGGCTGTATTCTTTGATCTTCTGCAACAAGTATTTCAAGTCCTCCTCACTTTAAGCAAGGATATCATGCCGAGAAAGGTAGAGGGTCAATGGAAGAGATGAAGACTTCCAATGAAGTGGATTGGTACAGAGACTATAACAGTAGACTTGAGCATGGCAGAGTTTGTGCAGATGACCAGGATGGGACAGGGTTCCAATCGGTTGTTCATACAGTCACTGTGAACTGTTGTTGACTCGACAACACCTGACAGCCACAGTTTTAATTTCAGATACTTTCAATTCTAGAATTTCCATGTCATGCCTCCATATAATTTTTATTTAACTTTTGAGAATTCCTATATTTCAATTCATTGTGATTATCTTTACTCTGGATTCTGGTTATTCATTTGAAGAGCATTTAATTTTGTTTTAGTAGTCATTTAACTTGAATGGACTTGTTACTGCAGTAAAGTTGACATTTTAGTGCATTTTTCTTAAGTCTTACCTGGGATGTTTGGACTATTTATGCACTTGTGTAATGCAAGGATCCACCAGACATTTGGAAAAGTTAAACACAGAATTTAAAAGATCCCCTCTCTGACTCTTTCCTTCCAGTGTTTCTCCATTCACTTTTCAGTATTTGTAATGCCCTATAATTTGTCTCTGCTATCTGGTTTTTTGAGTCAGAGATTTCTCTGAGTTTTAGCATCTTTACAAGATAGCAATGGAGACTTAGCTTCAGACTAAAAAGCTTACATTGTGCCATTTCCTTCTTCAAACTGCTAACACCTTTACCCCCCTCCAAGAACTCCTTGCTTTTTGGTCACTGTTCAGTACTTCTACATCATTATCTTCATATATTATGCTTGTTGGTGTTGTTAGGTGCCATCGAGTCAAGTGCAACTCATAGCAACCCTATGAACAACAGATCTGAACTTTGTCCTATCTTGTGCCATCCTCACACTTCCTGACATAGTAGAGGCCGTTGTGACAGTCACCAAGTCAATCCACCTGGTCCAGGGTCGTCTTCTCCTTCATTGACACCCCACCCTTCTAAGCATCAGGTCCCCCTCCAAGGAATAGCCTCTCCTAGTAGCATGCCTAAAGTATGTGAGGCGAAGCCTCATCCTGCTGGCCTCCAAAGAACACTCTGGCTGCACCCTTTCCAAGACATATTTGTTTGTTCTTAGAGTTTTATCTGCATAGGGATTAGACTTTTTTTTAACTTAAGGTACATTTATATATTATTTTGTTTTTTTAACCTTTTACTCTTCTTAGGCTGAGATGAAAATCTTCTGCCTCCATGCTGCCCCGAAACTATTTTAACTCCCAGACCCAGCCCACCGGACTTCTGGGACTGGGGGCCTTACCTGTTCTTCTTAGTGTGTTCTGAAGAGCACTGTAATTTGAGACTTGTTATTCTTTGTTGTAGTTGAATTGGTTCCAACTCATTGTGCGGCAATCTTGAAGACACATGGTTCAAATCCACCAGCTGCTCCTCAGGAGAAGGATGGACAGTCTCCTCCTGTACGATTTACTGTCTCTGAAAACCCACCAGCTCAGTTCTGACTTGATAGGACACCAGTGTAGCTGCAATACTCCAAGGAGCACTCTAGTTGTACTTTATCCAAAATATGTGTTCTTTTGGCAGTCTGTGGCATATTCATTATTCTTTTCCACCAACATATCAATGTGCACCAACAGCCCCTAAAAGCCCAAGCTGCCTCTTCCTTTCATTCTCTCACGGCCAGTGGTGCAGACGGGATCACTGGTGGCTAGGATCTTCCGCTCTGGAAAGAGCCTCTGTGTCTTCAGTTCTGAAAAGAGTCTTTGAGTCTTCAGCTCTGAAAAGGGCCTTTCGGTCTTCAGTGAATTCCTTGAGTTAGAGACCTTTAGCATGGAATTTATACTGTGCAATTAGGGAAATAATCCTAAAGATGACATGCTAGGGAAAGTAGAGGGTCAGCAAAAGAGAGAAAAACCCTCCGTGCGATGAATTGACATGAGGACTGCAGCAGTTGCTGGAAATCTTAAGGTTAACTTGGGATAGGGGAAGATTTTGATCACTTGTCTATTGAGTCACTGTGAGTCATAGTCTACTCAACAGCATGTACCAACAACAGAATTTTAATTAAGATTGCAATACCTAAGTAGAACTTTATGTTTTTCTGGAAGCCACTTGTCAGCAAGTTCTGATTACCATTCTTACTTACAGACACTCAGGTATAAATTGCAGGAGTATGTATGAGTCAAAAGAAAAAAAAATCTCAGTTTTTAAAGAAACCATATGGAGTCTGAAGTTCTAGAAATATCAAGTTGCAAGCCTAAAGCCTACGATTTGCCTAACAAACTCTCCTCAGTGTATACAATCTAACTTGCTTATCTCTATCTGACATGAGTTCCCTCATACTGAAATGCTTTTAACTCTTGTCATTCTTAAGGATTTCCGTGTTAAGTAAAAAGAATTCTGTATCTCTTAAACATTTGGTATGATGACAGTGGGTTAGGTGAAAGTAGGGTATATAAGACCAAAAATTTCTGAAAATAACAGCTGGATTTTCTCCCTCATGTCACATGAAAGTATACATATGAGTTTTGTAACTGTGTAGGCCTAATACGTTTTTAATTCTTATTATTTTAAATTATCAAATTTTAAACAGTATTTTGTAAAATGGTCTCAGACTGCTGTAAATTATTTTTTAAACCTGTAGAAGTTCATTCAAAATTAAATAAATTTCAAACTGCTCTAGCTATATGTTTTATTTCTTTGTTTTCCTCCCTTATTATTAATGTGTTAGGAGTTGAAAAATGGAAATAAGTATATCTAGTAAGGACACTTAAATATTAGGTAAATACCAAGTTTCTGTATCTTTATTTCCACTTAATTAATTGACCTCTCTCCTTGTTTTATGCTTTTATATTAGGAAAGTGGCTTTACCCAAGATTTAATACTATTTGCAACCTTTAATGAAGGTAAGATCTATAAAAAGTTCAACTTTTGTAATGATCTTAATGAATTGTAAACATAATTTTAACTGATTTTACTCTTTATTTTTCCTCCCATAGTTAAAAGTCAAAATCCTTTGGTAAAAGGTCTGAAGCTTACTAATTCCTATGAAGATTTTGAGTTGAAGAAATTACTATTTAACATAATTGTGATATTATGTAAAGATTTTTCTACTATACAGGTAAAGAATAATTCTACACAGAAAAAGACATGAGAGTGATCTCACTTTATAGCAGGTTTGTTGGGTTGGGTTTTTTTTTAATGCCACAGGATCAGGCAGTGTTTCTGTGTTATTCGTAGGGTCGCTGGGAGTTAGGGCCAAATCAACAGCCTAACAGCAAGAATAGAGATTGTGTAACCAGGAAAAAGGATCATAATCAGCTTGTATCTTGGGGTATATTTTGTTTTGATTTTTATATATTTTACAGATTGGGAATATTTAGGAAGGCAATATTTTAAAATTATCATCAATGAAACATGAAGTTGAAAATCTTTACTTTTCTTAAATAAAATTGTTTTCATGTCGTTTCTACAAAGTCTTTTCTCTTTTTCTTTCTCTTAGCTCTTAGTTCATGGCAAAGTCATCATGGCTTTATTTACCTATGTTAAAAAACCTGAGAAACACAGAATAATCGAATGGTCTGTAGCACAACATGAAGAATTACAGCTGCATGCAATTGCCACTTTGTCATCTGTGGCCCCTTTGTTAATAGAAGAGTACATGGCATGCCAGGGAAATAGTCGAGTACTTTCATTTCTTGAATGGTGTGAGAATGAAGGTGAGTGGTCTTTTAAGATCTTTGTAATAAAGAATAATTCAGCAACTTACAGGTAAAATACAATTTTAGTTTACTGTTGTAACTAGAATGTTGATAATGCTTCTTGAAATTCTAATTTATATATTTTACTCAAACTCTCAGTATATGCACAGGGAAAAAAAATCCAAAATGAATGAAAGCAAAGATAAAATTGTATAAATCTGCTTCTCCAAGAGTTTGATATTTTTAATGTTAAGTTTTAAAAAGGAACAAAGCACTGAGGTTTCTTATAAAGTCAGATACTAGTAAATGTCAGAACTAGAAATTTAGTTAGTGTAAGTATATAAAACATAACATTCCTCACTGACAGAAAAGAAATACGTGTAATTTTATTTAAGTTTTTATATTATTTAACAAGCTGCACTGCAATCCCAAAGGCACATGGTTTGACTCTATCAACTGCTCAGTGGGAGAAGGATGGACAATTTCCTCTTTTTTTAAAAAATTGAATTTTATTAATTTTAGTGAACATTTACAGGGATTTTGAGTTTCCATTCATTCATTGTTGCACTATTTTCTCTACCCTCCTCCCCAGTTCGTTCCTCTTTTTATCCCCCTTGAAAGTCTGTTTTAATTGTCCAATTGCCACAGTGCTTGTCAAAGCCAGTTCTGATTAATCTCCTTTGTCAGTGTGTCCTTTGCCATTCCCTATCACTCCTCCCTGAAAGAGACTTCACCCTGATTCATAACGAAAAGGGGATGGTGTATTCTCTTAGCTACTTCTGCTGAAAAGGGACGCTGTAGGTTTCAGGGTGAAGATCTTCTCTCACTACTCTAAAGGCCCCTTTGGCAATAGGAAACACATAGACTATTGTGGAGATTGATTTTGGAATTTAGATGCACTGTTATCAATTGTGCTTAGCCGTACATGTTCATATCCTTGAAGATGTATCATGGAAGTGTTGCAGCCTAGAAGACACAAATTTAACTAACAAGTTAAAAGTACATGAGTCAAAAGACAATTTCCTCTTATATGGCTTACTGCCTCTGAAAACCCTCTAGAGGATCAGCTATGGATCAGTTCTGACTCGACAGCATATAAAAAAAAAATCATTTTTACTCATTTGTTCAAAATTACTTAATTCATACTCAAACTGAGAAACTGAAACTCATTGCAGTGGAGTTAGAACCTTTGGGAATCCAGGACCACAGGCTGTAACCAGCTCAGGAGACAGTTCATCCCTCTCCTGCCTAGCCACTGGTGGATTCAACCCGCCAGAGAGGCACAGCTGTGCTGTCGGCAGCACAACTCCCCACCAACTGTCACCAGAGCTCACCGAGAGCTTACAAGGGACCAGGCAAGGAGCCTGGGTGATCCAGTGGCTAAGTCCTTGGTTGCTAATGAAAAGGTCAATGGTTCCGAGCCACTAGCCTCTCCATGAAAGATGGGATCCTTTGCTTCTGTAACAATTACAATTTGGAAGTTGTACAGAGCACTTCATCCTTAAAAAGGTCTGAGTCAGCATCAGCTCAGCGGCGATGAGTTTATGTTTTGTTTGGCTGACTTTTTAATTTAGGTCCTGGAGATTCATTAATGTTCAAAGCAAAGAAAAATCTACATTTTTCATCACTTCATAAAAAGGAGTGCATTTGGAATTTTATGGTTTTTAACTTTAAATAAAAATCTACTTCTAAAAGAACATCTTAAAGAATACATATTGATGTGTCTTGGTGTTTATCAGTTGCCTGTTGGCCCAGTGATGCGGATTTTTGTTTTCATGATGTTGAGATATAATTCATATTGAAAGCGTAGGCTTTAATCTTCTATGCTAAGCCTTGCCTCAGAACCTCCTCACTTTCAGCAAAGTTGTTTTATCACATAGCACAGGTGAGCCTTCCTTGGATTCTGATGCCACAATTCCTCTTCATAGAGCATAGCTTCCTTAATAGTGACCATAAACCTGTGCTACTAAGAAGTATGTAGTGTTGAGCTGGGGTATACCAGTGAGATGGAATCTGCCAGCAAGGATATTGCTAATCAGTGAGAGAAGGATACTGGGGTAATTAACTTCAAGTGAAAAAGCAAAAATTCTTAACATCTTCTTTGAAAAGTCAATTGCAAAATGAATTAAAGGACTAAATATTAAAAATTCAACTGTAAAACTGAAAATATAAGAAAATGTCTTTATAATATCCAAAACAAAAAACCAAACCCATTTCTATCAAGTAAATTCTAACTCAGAGAAGGTGGAGCCTTGGGCTGTTAGCTGAAATATCAGTGATTCAAACTCATTAACCATTCCAAGGGAAAAAGAGAGGCAGTTGGCTTCCATTAAGATTTATAACTTTTGAAACCCCATAGGTATTTCTACTCAGAGGGTCACTATGACTTATGATATCAGAGTAGGAAAAATGTCTTTTAAGAGACCCAACAATTTAAGCTATAATAGAAAAGATTGATGTATTTAACTACTGTAAAATTTGGAAAGTTAAGTTTCAATTTTATAAATTGAGAAAAGACATTTATTATGCCTGTGACTAATCAAGAACTAGAATCCAGGGTGATAAAGAACTCCTTTATGTTCTTTTAGAACATAAAGTAGAGGAGTGAACAAATTATAGGGGGAAATCTCAAATTTAAAAAATAAAGGCATGTTGAACTACAATTTCACATTTTAATATTTGGGGAAATTAGTCTTAATGTTGTACCCCTATGGCCATTTTTGCTCAACCATTTGGCAACTTGAGATAAAATTCAGAGTGTTATATTCTCTGAGTCTGGTGTCATGTGAAAAACTCTTCCTTAATGGGAATAAGAAGACATAACCCAGGGTATTGTACCACCATTTGTACTAGATAAATGGACTTATCTACAAAATGAATGCTGAACGCATTTTTAAAAGCAGGGTCCTCAGGGTCGCCATGAATTGGCGTTGGCTTGATGGCAGCAGTTGTACAGTGTGTGGAGTCATATGTCTACAGCTACTTATGACAGTGTGAGTAATTTTGAAAATAGTGTGGAATAAGATAAACAGGCTATAAAAGTTGCAAACAACTTGTGTAAAGGGAGTATTATTATATTTATTATATTATAAAAATATGTTTGTGTGAAAGGAGTATTATATTTCTTAAAAATTAACTAATCATGAAAGTTTGATATCTATATGACCTTGTTATAGATACAAATGTATTTGGCATGTTTATTTGAAATATATTATACTGTAAATGTCTTGATGTAAAGTCAATTATCAATTTCTCCCCACAGATCCCTTCCTGAGTCAGGGTAACAGCTTCCACGGTACAGGCGGCCGAGGCAACAAGTTTGCCCAGATGCGTTACACTTTAAGACTCTTGAGAGCCATGGTCTCCCTTGAAGAGGAGACAATAAACAAGGATCTTTGTGAAAGGGGTACAATTAAGCAACTGATAGGTAACATATAAAATTTTAGCTTACTGATAAAGTAGAATATAATTTATTTCTACTCTGTAGCAAGAAACTTCTAGATGTTTTCTTAAGTTATGTTTCATATTCTTACTATAAAGCAAATTGTCTTACTTATTTAAACTAAAGGAAGCCAGAAACCAAAATTTAACTGCACATGACAATGCACTTTTCTTCATGCAGGCTTGTCTTCTAACTTCTCCATTATGACCACTACTTTTAAGAGATCTTTTTGGAGCCATCTTTAAGGAGGATAATATTTTCTTTCCCAAGGCATTGGAGATACACAGGAATGCACACAGCACTTTCTCATATGATATGAATATCAGATTATCCCTGGTTTTCAGTACATAATTATGTCCCCCTATTCCCACAATGCTTGAACACTGTTATTAAGTGCTATGAAATTGGCCTTGTCTCCTAACAACCCTGAACACAACAGAATAAAGCACTGCCTGGGCCTGAGCCGTCCTCATACTGGTTGTTAACCGTGAGCTCATTCCTAGAGCCGCTGTGACGATCCATATCGTTGAGCGTCTCCCTTTTTTCTCACTGATGCTCTCCTTAACCAGGCATGCTATCCTTTTCCAATATTCCAGGGACAAGTCCCTCCTCATATTGTGCCCAGCAACGTGAGACACGGTCTTGCCATCCTTACTTCAAAAAAAGCATACTGCCTGTAATTTCTCCAAGGTACATTTGTTATCCTCCTGACAAACCATGGTATTTACACATTAGTCTAGTATAAAATTCAGAATTGCTGAATGATGCTCACAACTTTCAGTTTCGTGCTTGCAGAAAGTGATGAGGAATTAAAGTACTTAATGAAGAGGAGCAAAGACTACAGCCTGAAGTACGAATTACACCTCACCCTCAAGAAAACAAAAGTCTTCATAACTGTACCAATAGGTGACATCATGATATTATCGTTATTGAATACTATCTAGTCAGAACCGACCCATAGCTGACACTCAGGCAGTTTTTCTAAGGCAGTTAATCACACGAGAGGAGACTGCCCATCCTTCTCCTACAGAGCAGCTGGTGGCCTCCAACCACATGCCTTTAGGATTGCAGTGCAGGTTCTTGCCACTAGGCCACCAGAGCTCCCAGTACCAATAGGTGACATTATGATAAATGGAGAAAAGATTGAAGTTTTCAAGTAGAGAGTTGGCAAAAGAGAAGAAGACATGCCAGGAGATGGATTGGCACGGTGAGTACCATATTGAGCTTGAAACTGATAGAGATGGGAAGCCTGGTACAGGAAAGGGCAAGATTCTGCTCTGCCCTACATAGGGCCACTAGACGTCATAGTCGACTTGATGACACATAAGAACAGCAATCAACATCCATGGTAGCAGCAGTCAAGAAATCGAAAGATGTATCACATTGGGAAAATATGCTGCCAAGTGCCTCTTTAAAGTGCTACAGAGCCAAGATGTCAGTTTAAATACTAAGGTACATATAACCCAAACCATAGTATTTTCATTTGCTTTATATCAGTGTGAAAATTGGACAATGGATAAGGAAGACCACAGAAGAATTGATAACTTTGAACTGTTGTATTGGCAAAAAGTATTGAACATACATACCATGGACTGCTAAAAGAACAATCAAATCTGTCTTAAAGGAAGTGTAGCTCAGGTGTTCATTGGGGTCAAGGCTGATGAGACTCGCAGTCTTTGTTATCAGGAAAGGGCATGTTATCAGGAAAGACCAGTCTCTAGAGAAGGACTTCATGCTTGGAAAAGTAGAGAGTCAGTGAAGGAGAGGAAGACCCTCGACAAGGTGGATTGGCACAGGAGTACAACAGTGGCCTTAAGCACAGTGGAGTTCATGAGGATAACACAGGACTGGGCAAGGTTTTATCTGTTGTATGTAATGTGGCTATGAGTCAGAATTGACTCAACAGCACCTGAGAACAAACGAAAGCTTCATTCGCTTTTGTGCATTGAAAACATAATACAGGGAGTTCTGATGGCCTAGTGGCAAGAAGTTGCACTGCAATGCCAGAGGTGTGCGGTTCGAATCCACCAGATGTTCTGCTAGAGGAGGGGCAATCTCCTCCTGTACCAGCCAGATCCGATTTGACGGTACACATACAAAAAAATAATTCAAATATAGAAAAAAAGAAAACATAATACAACCTTTCAGTCCTCACCCTTCCTAACTTTAAAAGTTAAACGTGATTGCAGTCATTAATGTTCAATGGTGATGTCATGAAAACACGATTGTTTTCATTGCTTTATCATTTTCTTGATATAAAATACAAATACTTACGTTAAAAGTTTTCTGCAGGAATGGTATCCACTTCCTAAACAACATGCCTTCGGAAACTCTATGAACTTTGACAAGTGTCTATGGCTGTAGAGGGGCTTCGGGCCTTTTGTTCATAGGATTGCTATGAGCTGTACTTGACTCAAAGGCAATCAGCAACAACAACCCTTTAAATTAAAATGCCCACTCCTCCACAATTAGTGGAGCTAGGTAGTACCTTCCATTAGTAAAAAGGAAATTTAAAATAAGGATGGTTGTTGTGTGCTGTTGAGTCGGAACTGATCCGTAGATGACCATCCAGTGGGTTTTCCGAAGGAGTAAACCCCACAGGAGGGGAATGCTGATATTTCTACCACAGAGCAGCTGGTGGATGCAAAACATGTACCTTCAAATAAAGGTAGGTAAATGCATTTACTTCATGAAAAGTTTGCTTAGAATGAATATGGAAGTTGTTGTTGTTAATTGCTTTCAAGTCGAGCATGACTCATAGCGATCCTATAAACAAAAGGCCTGAAGCCTTTCTACAATTATCGACATTTATTAAAGTTCATAGAGTTTCATCTTTTCCAATAATCCATTATACAAACTAAGTTATAAGGCCCCATTGTAACTGAGGGAAATCTAGGAAATACAATCTTCCGTGTAACCAGGAGTAGGTCTTAATACTACCTGACCTGGAGAACAGAGTAAGGAAAAGGAAGGCAGCTAGCCAAGGTCCTTCTCTCTTTTTCTCTTTTAGCTTAAAAGAAGCTGATTGTTATGAGTTTTTGGAGATAAAGATTCTGTCTTAATGAATCTCTCAGAGCATTTTGTGTCTCTAGTGGGGTCATTAGAATTGGCATTATAAATGTTTATATACCTTCTGTGTAGATACCAGGGTTACAAAGATGCATACAGTAGGACACTGTGGACCTTACACTTGATGGGAATAAAAGAAAATATTATGTCATTGAGGTGTGGCATCTATTTCCTTTCACCATCAGCAGGACACCTGGTAACTAGTATGGGGAGCATATAACACAGAAAAAGAGCTTGGGTTCATTTTGGAGGCTGGGCAGTCTTACTAGACAACTTTATTGAGTTGAAGGAGCCGTGATTGCATAGTGGTTAAAGCACTCAGCTCCTCACCAGAAGGTTAGGGGACCGAAGTCATCAGCTGCTCCATAGGAGAAAGATAGGGCAGTCCCCTTTGGTGAAGATTACAGCCTTGAAAACCAGGGGGGCCAATCCTGCACCATCACTTATAGTCACTAAGCCAGAAATGATTCAACTGCAGTGGGGGCGGGGGGGTTGTTTGGTTATTTTTATTTTTAATTGTGATTTTAATGAAATTTTACATGCAGTGGTGTTTTTTTTTTTTAAATTGAGTTGAGGTATTAGGATAAAGGTAGTTTCAAAAGAAGAAAAAGAGAGAGAGGCTTTCAGTCAAGGAGAACAGCCAGAGCTGGGACAGGGCACTAAAATATGCATGATGATGTATTCAGAGCTAACTTAACTAGGGACAAGGTTTTATTAAGAGAACTAATGTGAGACAAGATGAATTGGATGTTATAAGCCAAGCTAGGCAGAGTGTTCCAGGACAGACAACAGAGTTTGAGCTTCGTCCTCTTTAGGCAAGGGGAACCATTAGAAATTTGATAGTAAGACTGTGTATATAATACGATATTTCAGGAAGATGAATCTGGAAGAAATGTATAGAATGATTTTTATCAGAACAAAGAGAAGTAAAACCATACTGACATAAAATTATTATTGTTATTCAGTAATAGTATGGATTCACAGTGGCAGGTACAGGCAGGAAGAATGAGATCTAGATCTAGAAAGGAGAAGCAAGCTGTAGCCAGTCAAGTAGATGCTCCTGATAAAGGAACATAGACTTCTGTCTGTGGCATTTCATTGCTCTTGGGCCCTCAGCAGCCTCTGCTAGTATCCTTAGAGTCTGATCCTCCATTTGTAATTCTTTAGAATAGAACCATGAATAGTCCAGGCTGGGCCAGCTATGAACATGGGGTGTGAGTTCTGTAGTCCTTCTACCTCGGAACACAGCTTCATTCCTTCATGCTAATGCCAGTGAACCCTTATCAGAGGAAAAATGACTTTGTTTTTTACTTAGAGCTCAAGGAAAAATTCACTTTTGAGGCAGGATTTTATTGAGACTGTCAAGACTATTTCAGAGGCACAGGGATTCTGCTACCTAACATCTGTAGACAGACAGTAGGATAGGATGCAGAAAGAATGGGGTTAGAAATCACAAGTATGGTGCTTTTGCTTAAAATTAACTTGTTAACATTGAGATGAAAAGAAGCTGTTTCTTTCAAACATTTTGGATCCATATGCATAAAACCAGTCATTTCTCCCTCATATATCAAAGCACAGCTTTGTTGCTGGGGTAAAGTTTCAAGTAAAGCATTTTTCAATGACATTCAGTGGAGGAGCAACAATTTAGAACAGGACAGTGAAAATGATTGTACAACGTAAAATATGTAATCAATTGTCATGAGAGAAATTATTGAATTAGTATGTGTTTTGGTATATGTATTTCTAATAACAATTTAAAAAGTGAGAGAAAAAAATTAGAAAAGGTTTTCAAACAGCAATTGATAAAATGCAGTATCGAGTAAATTTTTCTTCCTTATATCTTTTATACCAGGAATCTTTAAAAATACAATAAGCAAGGCTAGTGAGAAGGAAGAATCCATTGTTTTAGAAATCCAGTCTGATATATTACTGATCTTATCTGGCCTGTGTGAACATCAAATTCAGAGGAAGGTGGGTATGTCTGTGAATCAGTTCTGTTAAGCTCTCCCATTTGCCTAACACTCTGAATATTTTCTTAGGAATTGCTAATAAATGCTGTTTTAAAAATTTTACTTAATATTCTTTTTCTAATTGAAATATGATTAAATATTCCTTTTATAATTGATGTGTGACTAAATTAGAATAAAAAGTACGTATCTTAAGTGTATATAGTCTGAGAAGTTTTGCCAAATGCGTATATCTGCTTAACTGATACTCCAAGTGGACCATAGAATATTATCATCTCCCCAGACATACAGTTCCTCCCTGCCTCTTACCTCATCTCCCCATCCTCATGCAGCCACTTTTCAATTCTTTTCCCATAGATTAGTTTTATTTATATGAAAGGAGTCACACAGTATTTCCTCTTCTGTTTGCTTTCTACCACCCAGTATCATGCTACTGAGATATATCCAGATTGATAAATGTGCAATAGTTCTTTTCATTTTATTGCTGAGTAGTTTTGTTATGGCAGAAAATGCTAGATTCTAGACACTCAGCCATATAGGGGTCAACAAAGTTTCTTTATTAAATGCAGGGGTCAAGAATGTCAACTACTGCCTGAAACGTTCTGACCCTGAGGGGAAGCAAAGATTGGCTAATACACAGAGATTGGTGTGGGGGAGACACAAAATCATCGTAGTTGGCAGCAGAGATTTCTTCCCATCCGGAAGTTTCTGACTTCTCCTGGGTGTCCAAGGCCGTGGGCCAGGTACAGGACGTAGTCAAGGAGTGGTAACCAAACTGGGTCAGCATGTACCAGAGAACATAAACCTTAGTAACACCTATTATTGTCAATATTATTAAGGATACATTTCTTAAAATGGCTTTCAGGGCAAAATGGCTTCCCTAATGCTCAGCATAGAAGCTGCTATTTCAGTTTTCCACTGTGACTATACCAAATCTAGTTATCCCATTATCTTGCCAGTAGACATTTGTTTCCATTTTGGGTTACTTTTAATAAAGCATTAATGAATATTTTTATATTACTATTTTGTGGACATATGATCTCATTTCTCTTGGGTAAATAAACATCTAGTAGAATTGCTAGTTTAATCATAAAGTCAGAAGTAACCCATAGCTTACCCTACAGTGGACTTTTATAGGTGGTGGCCTAGTGGTAAGAAACTGCATTGCAATTCCAAAGGCACACAGTTCAAATCCACGAGCTGCTCTGTGGGAGAAGGATGAGCAGTCTTCTGTGCACTGGTGGATCAGCTCTGGGTAGGTTCTAACTCATTGGTACACGAGGACAACAACAACAAATCACGTGGGAGGAGATTGCCCGTCTTTCTCCCATTGAGCAGCTGATAGATTCAAACCACCCTTGTGTTGCCAGTACAATTCCTTACCACTAAACCACCAGAGCTTCCCCTAAGGGAAGTAGTAGTTTAACTTTTAATTTTTTAAGTTTAACTTTTAACTTTTTAATGCTATAAGGAAGTTCGTATAAGTTTAACTATTAACTTTTTAAGACACTGTCAGTTTTCCAAAGTTGACTGAATTATTATAATAATTAAGATTTGTGTTTCTTTGAATTTGGTTCATATCCATTACTGAAAATTAGAACAAGAGCTTAAGATCCTCTTTTTTAAAACTCTATAAGAGCCTCTTTTTAAAAACTCTATAACAAATTCAGTGACTGGGATAATCGGGTTGGGAGTGTCAGAGACAGATTGGCACAGGACAGAGCAGAGTTTAGGGCTGTTGTACATAGGGTTGCTATGAGTCGCAAGCGACTCGACGGCACATAACAACAACAACATAACAAATTCTGAGTTTCAGAGATTGATAATAACAAGAAAAGAAATGAGGGGGATAAATTATTTTTTTTTAGAAGATGATTCTAATGAAGGGATTTGGATGCCACAAAATGGGGGTCCACAGAAATGACAAATACATGCTTTACTCCAAGCTTTGATATAAGTTCTTATATTACCCCATCTTGTGCTTGTATTCCTCTCAACAATAATTGTAATCACATGGGAGAAGATTGCTCATCTTTCTCCTGTGGAGCACCTGGGAGATTCGAACCGTGTGCCTTTGTGTGAATATTGCAGCTCCTTACCTATGACATGCTGTTAGATTTGATCCATTATAAAGTGGCAGGCCTTAGAGTTTGAAGTTTAGTTTTGTTTTGGTTTGTGCACGTACCGTTAAATCAGATCTGACTGGTACAGGAGGAAATTGTCCCTCCTTCTCCGGCAGAGCATCTGGTGGATTTGAACTGTGTACCTCTGGGATTGCAGTACAGCTTCTTGCCACTAGGCCACCAGAGATCCCCTAGAGTTGAATTTTTTTAAAAAAAAGAAGAAGAAAGATACAAAGGGACAATAATTTATTGATTACTCTGAAACTTTCTCTGAAAATTGTTAGCTTTACAATATTTTTTAAAATATCTGATAGCAGGTGAAAAAATGTATTAAAAACATTGTCTGATGGTGTTATATTTTTCTGGTAGAAAAATAATTTTAAAGAACTGTATGCAGGGTAAATGGACTATTGTTTCAAGAAATAATTTTAAGGAAATCTCTCAAACAGGAACTTTTCGGAACTGAAGGAGTAGATATAATTCTTCATGTAATGAAAACAGACCCCAAAAAGTTGCAGAGTGGATTAGGCTATAACGTCCTTCTTTTTAGTACATTGGACAGCATTTGGTGAGTATTAGCATAACCAACTTAGATAGAATCTTAGATATAAGAAAATCACCTCTATAGCTATGCATGCCAATTTTCTTTATTCAAACCTTGCTAGGAAGATAGGTCATTTTCTTTTGATGTTGTTTTGTGCCATTGAGTAAGAACCAACTCATAGCTGAACCTCCAGCAGGTTTTCAGTAAATTGGACAAAAGGAGATTGCCCATCTTTCTCCCACGGAGCAGCTGGTGGATTCAAATCCTTGCATTTGGGTTGGCCGCATAACTCTTTTTTTTTTTTTTGCCGAATTAACAAAGTTTATTACGAGTTTGAACCCGGGCTCCCGCGCCCTGACACAGCAGCATCCAGCCGAGAGCCGGCCGCATAACTCTCTACCCACTAGGCCACCAGAACTCCCTATAACACTTACCAGTGTCTTCTGGGAAGTAATCTTATCCATCATTCAAATAAAAAACATGTTCGTATCTAAATTTAAATTCTTGTTTTATAATATGAACCTATTCCACCTAATCTGAGGTAAACAAAAGCATCCATTTTGGTTGATATAAAACTGATGGTTGATATCCTTGAATTTAAAGACTTGAATTTCTCATTCTTCTCTTTATAGAGTTAAAATCACATTGGCAAGAATTTTCTAAACAATAGTCTACCTTAAAATTGTTTACATTCTTAAGGGTAAAAAACACTGCTTGTAAGCACTAATTTAGCAAATTTTGTCTTGATGAAAATGCCTTGAGTTTTCTGATATTCTTAAATCTTAATGTATTTCCTAGCTGGTTGGAATTTATGAGAACCCCTGCATTTAGCCACTTTTATTAATATTATTTTTCATAAGACAAACTAACAAGATTTACCTACTACAAATATACAATCACGCTAATCAGCTATTACGTTTATTACTGTAAAGAAGACTGTATTGACAACATGATAATCTTATCTCTCGAAAGTTTCAAAAGTAAGCTCCTACTGACCCAAAACCAAAGCCCATCATCAAGTCTATCCCATGTTATAGCAACACTATATTTAAAACAGACTAGAGCTGCCTCATAAGCTCAGTAGTGTTAAGTCTTCACAGGAGCAGACGGCCTCATCTTTATCTCAGTAAGCGGCTGGTGAGTTTGAACAGCTGGCTTTTCAGTTAAACAACTCAACACTTAACCCACTATGCCACCAGGGCTCTTACTGACTAAAGCACTATGTTGTTGTTGTTGTTGTTGTTGTTGTGTGCTGCCGAGTCGCTTGCAACTCATAGCGACCCTATGTACAACAGCCCTAAACTCTGCTCTGTCCTGTGCCAATCGCACTGTCTCTGACACTCCCATCCTGATTATCCCAGTCACTAAATCAATCCACCTCATAGAGGGTCTTCCCCTCCTCCTCTTGTCCCTCCACCCTACCAAGCATGATGTCCTTCTACAAGGACTGGTCTCTCCTTACAACATGTCCAAAGTATGTTAGACGGAGCTTCAGAATCCTTGCCTCCAAGGAGCCACGTGGCTTAACCCTTTCCAGGATGAATCTGTTTGTTTTCCTAGCAGTCCATGGTACTCTCAATACTCTTCTCCAGCACCACAGCTCAAAGACATCAATTTTCCTTCTATCTTCCTTGGTCATTGTCCAACTCTCTGATGCATAACAAGTGATTGCAAAGACCGTGGCCTGTATCAGATGCTCCTTAGTCTCCAGAGAGACACCATTGCTCTTCAGTACTTTGGAGAGGTCCCTAACAGCTGACTTTCCCATCGCAATACATCTTTTAATTTCCTGGCTGCTGGTGCCAAGAGTGTTGACTGTGGAGTCAAGCAAAATAAAGCTGTGAACAATCTCAATCTCTTCACCATCCATCCTGATGCTGCCAATTGGTCCAGTGGTGAGAATCTTTGTCTTCTTGACATTGAGCCTCAATCCATATTGGAGGCTGCAGTCCTTGACCCTCTGCAGCAGGTGCACTATATTACGTATAGTTAAAAAAAGAAAAAAAGGATAGATGAGTGCCACCTTTACTATATAGATATACTGAATTCAGAGGTCCCTGTGGAAGATAATCTTCATATTTCCTAATTCCTTTATTTAATCACAGTTATACTAAAAAAAAAGTATTAGCGTAATAGTTTCGGTCTATAGTGAGCATTGCTGGCACAGAGGATTAAGCATTGGTTTGTTAACCAAAATGTCAGTGTTTCAAATCCAGCAGCCTCTCCAAAAGAGATGTCATGATTTGCACTCAAAGATTTATAGCCTTAACAACTATTGGTGTGGTTCTACTCTGTCTATAGAGATACTATGAGTTGGATTTGACAAAACAGCAATAGATGCATTTACTTCCATCATCACATAGCATCTGTCTTGTCCCTATGTGTGCTTCCCTTTATATAAAATGCCATTCAGAAGGGAATAGAGTAGGATCCACTCTATCTACTCTTACACAGTATGGTTAACTGATAACATCTGCAAAGAAAAGCCCTATTTCCCCAAACAAGGTCATATTTACAGGTATAGGAATGAGGGTGTCAAGATCTCTTTTTGGAGGACACATTCAATCCATGACCCAGCCCTACCACCAGCATCATTATCACCAACATGAGATAGGCAGTAGAGATAAGGGTATCTTTTGTCAGGTGCTACAGGCACTGAGGGCTAGCAGGCCTATGTACAACAGATTATTCAGCTATTATCTTCCACCCTGGGAAAGAATTAATCTTTGCCAATTACTTCAGTCCCTCATTCCAAGTGCACTCACAGGCCTAAGCAGCTGACACGAGCAAGTAGTATCAACAGCCAACATAAAATATGAGCAACAGTCACTAAATGTCAGGAAAGGGAGAAAATAAAGAGGTATGCCTCAACGAACAATAGCAGAATCAGGGAATAAATTTTAAAATAATTACTATCAAGAGACATAAAGAGAATAATACCTGTGTAAAAAATAAACGATGAAAAAGAATAATTAAAAAATAGCTGAAGCTAAGTTTATGCAAAGATGAAAAAATAGTCTTTGAAAATATTTTTCATCAAATGTGCTGCAAATTGAGTTTAGCAATAAATGTTTGTTAAATCCCTAACTTCCTTTTTTATTTAAGGTGCTGTATTTTGGGATGCTATTCCTCAGAGGACTACTTTCTTGAAAAAGAAGGCATTTTTCTCCTTTTGGATTTATTAGCAGTAAGTATGTTTATGGAAACTGTAAAACAAAAGAGATCTTTTTACTAACCCCTCATGCATTCAGTTGGGAGCTCTGGTAGCCCAGTGGTAAGGAAGTGCATTGCCAATACAAACACAGACATTTCAAATCCACTAGCTTCTCTGAGGGGAGAAGATGGATAATCTCCCCAGTGCAATTTATAGCTCCTGAAAACCTGCTGGAGGGCCAACTGTAAGTTATTTCTGATTTGATGGCATATAAAACAGGATGTACACTAAACAGCACAGATTATTATATGAAGAGATCATGTTCAGATGGATTCTTTTCAACAGAACTACTTCTGGATACTCATAATATGCATTGTTGTTGTTAGGTGCCATCAGGTCCCACTACAACTCATAACAACCCTAATGCACTAGCCGACTCCAAAACTCAAACTCATTGCTGTCAATGGAAACCAACTCAGCTGACCCTTTGGCAGGTTAGCTGAGGCTGTAATCCACACAGGGGGAGACTGCACATCTTTCTCCCATAGAGTCACTTGTGGATTCAAACACCAGAGAGGAACCACCTCTGGTTACTAGAGCAACTCCCTACAGACGACCCCACCAGAATTCTCTCATAAAGGCTCTGGAATTTCCTCTAGCTAAGAAATCATTTCTATCAGTGTTCCCAAACACATTTCAGTGCCACAAATGGTTTCCACCTGGAAACAGTTCGGTGGAGCCTTGCCTTCTACTAACCAAGACTGACCAGGAGACACAGTGGTTTCCCATGAACAAAGCTTCATTAAGCAGAGGTAACTCACGAGCAGCACAGGCAGCTCACAAGTGGGGCAGAGGCTGTGTCAACACTAGCCTCTCCTCAAACAGTGGGTTTAAGGGTTTTATGAAGATTTCAGGTGGCAAGGGGTACCATGCTATTATTTACATTCTGAGAATAGGTTAAGGGATTATGGAGATCAGATGCATGCACATGCAATTTTAAAAAGAAAATCTATTAAAAAGGGCTTATTCTGGGATGTCTTGCCGCAGCTTATGGTGCTGGTTCATGCCCTGCTGAGAGAATGGTATTCTTTCTCTTTCCCTATTTAAAAGTCAGGAAGCTCTCGTGGATCAGTAGTGCCTTCTGTAGACTTGAGTTCAACTCATAGTGACCCTGTGAATAACACATATTAACCCTGTCCTCTCCTGCATCATCCTCATCACTTCTGAAATACTTGAGCCCATCACAGGAGTCACTGTGTTGATCCATGAGGTTGAAGTTTTTCATCTTTTTTACTGTCTGTCCATCTTTCCAAGCATGATGTCCCTCTCCAAGAAATAGCCTCTCCTAACAGCATACCCAAAGTATGAGAGACAAAGCTTTGTCATATTTGCCTTCAAAGAGTACTCTGGCTGTATTTTTTCCAAGACATGTCTGTTTGTTCTTTTGACAAACATGGGATATTAAATACTCCAACATCACCACTCGAAGGTTTCAGTTATTCTTCTGTCATCCTTATTCATTGTCCAGCTCTCAGATCCATAGCAAGTGATCCAAAAGATCATGGCCTGGATCAGCTGTACTTTAGTCCTCAAAGTGACATCATTACTCCTCCGTAATGTGGAGAGGTCCCTGACTGTAGACTTTCCCAATGCAATATGTCTCCTGATCTCCTGACTGCTGGTACCAAGGGTGTTGATTGTGGATCCAAGTATGACGAAGTTGTTGATTCAAATCCATCAGCAGCTCTTCAGGAGAAAGATGCCAGTCTCCTTGTGTGAAATTCACAGCCTCAGAAAACCCTGTAGAGGGTCAGTTGTGAGTCAGTTCCAACTCAAGAGCAATGATTGAATTTTCTGGAAGGTGACTGTATGTATAAGCATGGCATATGGTTAGAAGACTAGCTCAAACCAGTTGTTCTGAAAAACATCTTAAGGGCAGCTGGTTAAACATAAGCCTGTAGGCCGGGCTTTTCTGAGTTCCAAGTGTTGGTCTGTCTTGATCCTTAAACATAGAATAGCTTCCCAATGTTTTGTTTAGGTCACAAGGAAGCAGAAAGCATACTTGGAAAAATGAATCACCTCTACACTCTCCTCCTCCAATAGTATTCAATAGAAAGGCGTGAAAGAGAATGGTGGTGGTTGTTAAGTGCCTTTGAATCGAGTACGACTCATAGTGACCCTGTGAACAACATATCTGAACCTTCTTCACACTTCCTGACTCATAAGAGCCTGTTGCAGCAGTCACCATGTCATTCCACATGGTTGAGGGTCTTTCTCTCTTTCGCCAACCCTCCACCCTTCCCAGACTCATGTCCCTCTCCATGGAATAGCCCTTCCTAGCAACATGTCCAAAGTGTGTGAGGCAAAGCCCCATCATTCTTGCCTCCAAAGAGCACTTCATCTGCATCCCCTCCAAGACATATCTGTTTGTTCTCTTGGCTATCCATGGGATGTTCAGTGCTCTTCTCCAACATCACAGCTCATCAATTCTTCTTTCTTCCTAATTAATTGTCTAGCTGTCAGATTAGAAAGTGATTAAAAATACTATGGCCTGAATCAGATGCACCTTAGTCCTCAAACTGACATCACTACTCTTCAATAATTTGGAGAGGTCTCTAACTGCAAATTTTCCCAATGCAATGTGTCTCCTTATTTCCTGACTGCTGGTACCAAGGGTGTTAATTGTGGATCCTAGCAAGATGAAGCTATCGACCATTTCAATCTCCTCTCCATCCATCATGCTGTTGCCTGTCAGTCCAGTAGTAAGAATCTTTGTTTTCTTGACATTATGATGTGATACATATCGAAGGCTATATTCCTTTATCTTCTGCAACAAGTGCTTCAAGTTCTCACTTCCAGCAAGCAAGGTAGTGTCATCTGCATAATGCAGGTTATTGATGAGTCTCCCTCTAAACTTGATGCCACACTCCTTCATAGAGTCAAGCTTCTCAAATAATTTGCTCTGCATACCGATTAAATAGGTATATAGAGAAAATTAAACTCTGATGTACGCCCTTCTTAATTTTATACTATGCAGTTCTCTGTTCACACAACAGCCTTCTGGTCCAGGTATAGGTTCCGCATGAACACAATTAAGTGCTCTGGGACTCCCAGTCTTCTCAGTGTCAGCCACAACTTGTATTGATCCACACAATCAAATGCCTTTGCATAGTCCACAAAACATAAATAGACTTTTTTCTGCTATTCTTTACTTTCATCCAGGATCCATCTGACATTGCAGTAATATCCCTAGTGCCATGGCCTCTTCTAAAAATCCTGCTTGAACTTCTGGCAGTTCCTTATCTATATATTGTTCTAGCCATTTTTTAGTGATCTTCAGCAGGATTTTGCTTGCATGTGATATTAATGATATTGTTCAGTAGTTTCCACATTTTGTAGGATCACCTTTCTTGGGAATGGGAACAAATATGGACCTCTTCCAATCCATTGTTCAGACAGCTGTCCTCCAAATTTCCTGCCAACAAGTGGTGAGCCCAAGGCTACATCTGTTAATTAAAACAAGTCAATTGGTATCCCATCAATTCCTGAGGCCTTGTTTTTTGCCAATGCCTTTCAATACAGGTTCCACTTCCTTACCATTGGCTCCTGTTCATATGGTACTTTCTGAAATTTCTCCGTGTAATCAGTTCTTTCTGCTCCAGTGATCCTGTATTCTCTCCATCTTCTTTTGATGATTTCTGCATCATTTAATATAATGCCCATAGCATCTTTCAGTATTGCAACTTGAGGCTTGAATTTGTGTTTCTGTTCTCCCAGCTTGAGAAATGCGGAGTGAGTTCTTCCCTTTTTATTCTCCAATTCCAGCTATCTGTATATTCCATTATAATACTTTGCTTTGTCCTCCAGTGCTGCTCTTTGAAATCTTCTGTTGAGCTCTTTTACTTCTGCATGTTTTCCTTTTGTTTTGGCTACTTGATGATCCAGTGCAATTTTTAGAATCTCTTTCTCACTTCCAATTCTATTTTTTTCTTTCTTCTCTGTTTTTGGGGTTTCTTCTCCTCTGTTTTTATAATGACATTTTGCTTTCATCATGGATGATATCCTTGATATCATCCCATTACTCATCTGCTCTTTGGTCACTGGTGTTCAATGCCTCAAAACTATTCCTTAGGTGATCATAGAATTGATTCAAGATTATATCTCAGTTCCTGTAGAATTATTTTAATGTTCTTCAGCCTCAATTTGAACTTGCATATGAGTAATTGATGGTCTGACCTACAGTTCACCTGTGGCCTAGTTTCGGCTGCCAGTCTTAATCTTCTCCAATGATTTCTTCCACAAATGTAGTCAATCTGAAGAGTGGTAGGAGAGGCCAAATAGTAGAGGGGTTATGAAGATAGACTATCTCCAGTCCTCATACCTATTCAGTCTCTATGTAGATCACACAGTCTTGCCTGTTCTAGGAGAGGAGAACCTGAAGCACTTATGAATAAGATTGAAGACTTCAGTACGAAGTTGCATTTCAACATAGAAAAAACAAAAATCCTTACAACTATACCAATAGACAACATCATGATAAAAGGGGAAAGATTGAAGTTGTGAATGATTTTATTTTTTCTGGATCCACAATAAACATCCCTGAAAGCAGCTGTTAAAAATAATCAAATAATTGGGGGGAAAAGAAAGAAATCAAATAACTGAACAAATCTAAATGTGTTAAGGATTCTAAGGATGGCACAGGATAGGACAGGGTTCAGATCTGTTGTTCACTGGGATGCTATGGGTTGTACTTGACTCAATAGCACTTAACAACTACCAAAGAACTCTTTAGAGTGCTAAGAAGCAAAACTATCATTGAAGATTAAGGTGGTCTGCCCCAAGACATGGTATTTTTAATTGCTTCATATGTATGTGAAAGTTGGACAATGCATTAAGGAAGGCCAAAGAAAAATTAGTTTGAACTGTGGTGTTGACAAAGAATTTTTAATATACTCTAATTGCCAAAAGAACAAACAAAATTGATTTGGAGGACATGCAGACAGGGTGCGTGTTAGAAGCAAGGGTGGGGACACTTCATCTCACATACCTTGGGCATTATGCTTGGAAAGCAGAGGGTTAGTGAAAAAGGAAGCCACTCAATGAGATGGATTGGCATTGGGTGTAAGCACTGCAGAAATTGTGCAGATGAAACGTGGTTGGACAGGTTTTTTCCTGTTTTAAGGTTGCTATGAGCTGGGTCTAACTCTGAGGCACTAAACAACAACATGTACAGCTAGCTCTTGTGACTTTGCCACAATTAAAATAAACATGTCTCCCACCCCTAAGTCTCTCTTATCCAGGTCAACTACATTACTTAGAGTTTTTGTCATGACATACATTTGTTTGTGACTGCTTCACAATGAGATTGAATCTTTTTTTTCTTTTCACCCTGATACTGATTACACTGGAGAGTTCTTTTACAGGAGTTTCTTCTAAATCTTAGTCAGTCTGAATTTTCCAAGTATGTGTCTCTCTTTTATTTTTGAAGGAAATTTTTAATATAGTTATTGCAATTTTTTTCTCTTTCCTTTCTATAGTTGAACCAGAAAAAATTCTGTAATCTAATCCTTGGAATAATGGTTGAATTTTGTGACAATCCTAAAACCGCAGCTCATGTCAATGCCTGGCGAGGGAAGAAGGATCTTACTGCAGCCAGCCTTTTAATTAAACTGTGGAGGAAAGAAGAAAAAGAACTAGGAGTAAAACGTGATAAAAATGGGAAAATAGTTGGCAAGTGTATTTATATACATTTTTGAAGAAGCAATTTTATGAGTGTATTAAAAAAACTCATAGCTGACTGTCCAACAGGTTTTCAGAGGCTGTAAATCACACAGGAGGAGGTTACCCAACTCTCTCCTTAGGGACAGCTGGTGGATTTGAACCGCCTGCCTTAGGGTTGGCAGGAGGACTTTAAAAGAGAACTTTAAAGTATATGCATAGAGTATGAGGGAGATCACCCCTTGATCTAAAGTTCTTTCATTGGGTTTTAAGAACCTGCAGTGATAACTTCTGAATGTCTGGGACAAAGCGAAGTAAATCAGGAACAGGTTCATATTTTTATAGGATATTGCTAAAATATATTATTTTACTATAATCTTCAACTGAAACAATGAAAATTACCTCAGGTTATCTTCTCTTATAAAGCGAGTAATATTTAATTTACTAATAAAATTTAGAGAGCTCTGGTGGCTTAGTTGGAAAAGAGCTATACTGCCAACCTAAAGGCAAATGGTTCAAATCCACCAGCCACTGTGTAGGAGAAGGATAAGCATCTCCTTCTATGTTATTAACTTTCTAGGAAAACCCGCTGGAAGGTCAGCTATGAGTTGGCTCTGATTCGATGGTACATAATGACAATAAAGTTTTGGGTCATAAATGGAATACTTTGAAAACAATGTTATAGTATTTTGTATATTCTCCTTGACACTCATGTAAACAATTACTTTTTGCTAGAAAAGAGTAAATTCTTTTCTAAATAAAATCAAATATTCTTAAACATTAATTACTAAATTGTAAATGAGAGAAATTATGAATTTTTTTTACTTATTTTACAGTATTACATTATATTTTCTAACCCTAAAAATTCTTGCAGTCTCATCAAAATTCTATTATTATTGTCTCTCTCTCTAATTTCTGTTTGTGTCTACTTTTTATTTCTGAAATTTTATTTATACCATAAAATACTTCTGTTTATAATAGAATATATAATAAAGCAAAGGAGGCTATATCATTCTAAAACTAATTTCTGAATCTTAAAATTAAAAGTTATTTACAATGCAGTTTTCTGTTTTTAGAAAGAATTGTTTTTTTCTTATTATGAATAAATAGTAAAATTTAAAACTTTCAGTTTTGCTCCAAAATAGGCGAGAAATTACTGCTTACTTTCAAAGTAAGTATGTACATGGCACAGTTTTACCTACTGCTTATATTTATTTATTTCTTTATTTTTGGTTGTGTAGATGAAAATCTCAAAATTAAGTATTTACTTTGATTATTGCTCCAACTTCTGTATTTTCCTGATATCCAATGACTAGATACAAAGAAGCCTCTATTTACTAGTTTCCAAGAGGAGCAAAAAATCCTGCCACTGCCTGCCAACTGTCCTACAGTTGCAGTTATGGATGTTGCTGAGAATATCAGAGCAAAAATTTATGCTGTGTTGGGAAAACTAGGTAAGTAGTAACTAATTCAATTTATAAGAACATCTCAGTTTTGCCGAATATACAAATTGGTTTTGCTTTGCAATCTGTTTTTCAAACTTAAATACAATTGCTTCTTACTGAGGCAAACTGTGGCACAAAGCAAGTCCTTATAATGCAGCAGTTAAGCATTCCGATGTAACCAAAGGTCTGTGGTTGAAACTTACTACAGAAGATGTGGCAACCTGGCTCTGTACAGATGTAGTCTTGCAAAAATGGAGCAATTCCACTCTGTTCTTCAGGATCTATGATGTGAAATCAACTCAACAGCAGAAGGATAGTTTGGCCTGTCTTTCATGTTTAGAAATGCATATCTTTCTGCTAACCCAATGCCCAGACTTTACCCTGACCAACGAAATCAAGATCTTTGCGTATAAGACCCAGGCATCACTCTTTTTTAAGCTCCCCAGATAATTCCAGTGTATACTCAAGGTTAATAAATGTTAAATAATGAGTTGTTAAGTATAAGAAATCAAGTAACCTGAGAGGTTTTTTTACATCATTTGTTCCTGTTCTTTTTTCCAAAATGAAATTCTAATTCTTCAGTTTCTGAAAGTACAGTTTCATTGTCTGACCACAGCACAGAAAAAAAGGTCATTGAGTGAGAATGACCTGACAGGCTTGTTGGAGAATGAAGATAGATGCTCACAAATAGGGCTTTTCAATAAAGCAAGAAAAGTCAAAAGTCACTGCATAGCTTTTTATGATGTATTTATGCCTCTTGGTCTTTTAGAATTATTCTTTCTTATATATTGTTTAGATTTTGAAAATTTGCCTGGCCTGTCTGCTGAAGATTTTGTCACACTTTGTATCATACATCGATATCTTGATTTTAAAGTGAGTACTTACTGTCTTAATAACTTCATTATGCAAAAATAAATTTAGAAGAGAAAAAAGTATATTTGTTGTTTTGAGCAATAATCCACATACAGTGTCATTTTTATTTCCCATCTTACAGCTGATACTATTCATAAGACACACCATTAATTGAACAGGTATTTTTCACAAGTTATGTTTTTCTGTAATTACTAGTCAATAAAATATGCACTTTATAGGCATAGAGAAATTCAAAAGCCTAATGGATTTTTTTAAATATATAATTTCTCTAGAAAGATGTAGGAGCTAGAATTAAATAAATCATTACACCGATTCCTCACTTAACAACATATTTAGGTTCCTTAAGGCCAGGCTGTTATGTAAAAATCAGCATCATATAGAAATGGAGAATGAGCGGACAGCACTGAAAATGAAGAGTGAAACCTCTGCCCCTCTGAAACTGAAGACAAAGCAATGTATTAGAGGCCGAGAAGGCAGTGCCAAAAATCCTCTCCAGCCACACACACACACACACACACACACACACACACACACACAGTCCCACACCTCATCCACCTTCTGCTGTCCCAAGACACTGACACTCCAGAGGCAGCCCAAATACCCATGGAAGAGTACTCCCAGAAGAAATAAGCTCGACAACTGTGCTTTCAAGTTCCCCTTGACTCAGCCATGAAAAGGAGAAAAGATAACATAATAATGTTCATTGTAGGGAGCTCTGGTGGCCTAGAGTAGTAAAGTATTGCACTGCCAACCCCCAGCTGTTCCACTGGGGGAAGATGGGAAGCCTCCTCCTATGTGATTTACTGCCTCTGAAAACCATCTGGAGAGGCAGCTATAAGTTGATTCCAGCTTGGTGGCACATAAATAAGAATAAAATAAAGTGTTCATTGTAGATATCGAGCGAACAAGCACCAGATCAAGATTATACAGGCTGTGAAGAAGCTCTGTGATGTTGAGATGACCAAAGTCATCACCTTGACCTAGCCTGATGGAGAGAGGAAAGCATACTCTGGAATTGCACCTTACTGCAATTTGGATGTTGCTAAAAAGTTTTGATTATCTGAGTCCAGCTGACTAATTAGAAATAGAAATTTTTCTCACCTCCCCCCCAACACACACAAGAAGTTGGAGGATGGCCATATAAGATCACCAAAAGGAAGAGGACTTAATCATTACATAACTGACAAATTATATCATTTCATAACTTCCAAATGATATCATTGAATAAGTGCCAAACCAATGAAAATCATTGTGTCATATGTCAGGCAAACTGACATATAATCTTAACCATCATAATTAGCATTTTTGTAACCTTAGAACTTGTGTTTGTTACTACCAGCCATGCACTATTTAAAGGGGAAAAATAGTAGTTTTGGGTGGATTTGTTGTTTGGGTTTTTTTTT